GCAACAAGCGATATTTTTCGGATTAATTAATCACCGCGAATTTGTCCGGGGTGCAGGATCCGACTAGCATGATCATAAATTTTCACGCGTGAATGATAGTGAAACGGGATAATTATCGGTAAACACGTGCGCTTTATTGATTGATCAGAAGCTGAGGCTGTTAATCGCACAGATGATACGCGCGCGTCGAGCAATGTTTGTTTGGTCGAAACGGAGCGCGCGAAACGAAACGAAACGAAATGAAAGAAGAACGAAGAGAGAAAAAGGCGAAACGATCGATTCAGATTAATCGCTGGGAATCCTATTAAAGTCGACAGGAAGGGAAGAAGCGTCAAACTAGGTTTATCGACGGTTTTTTTTTTTTCCACCCCTCCCGCCTGGGAAAATATATTTGTATAGTTATATATCGATCTAATTTCAGGCTGCAGCGACTTTCATCTCCGCTGCCGAGGGATATTCAATCACCTGGCTGGAAGCGGTGACTTCCTTTGCTCAAACTAAATAGCAAACACTTTTCACAACTCGCGCAAAGCCAAATTACCTTCCGTTCCAACTGTCTCTGAATATTTCATGCCGAAACCGGGGATAAGATAAGATGAGAAAACGAACCGCGACGCGTCCGATATATTGTCAATTAATAGAAGCTCTTTGATAATTAACATCCTTCTGGATCGTCTATCGCGGCGGAAATTTGAAATTCGCTGCAGGATTGGTTAATCGAGACGAATATCAAAGTTCGCGGCTCCCTTAATTAGTCGACGACGTCTCAAATTAATTTCTTATTGTTTGATTGCTTTACAATTGTTCGAGTCGAAGGCAGAAACATAAATGCGAATTTCAAAGTAGCAATTTAATAAATTTCGTAATTCCGGCCCGTTGTTAGTAGTAGAAATTATTGCACAATTTGCAGTAAGGACATTTTATCGTATCAATTATTAGACACGTTAAACGATACTGCGAATAATGTAAAATAACGGCTTGAACGTGCAGGGAATACCGTGAAAATAAATGGAAAATATGAAATGAAACTTTCCCGTGCGAAACGCTATTTTCGAAAAAAAAAGTTCATTGTAAATATTTGTCCGACGGATATATTGCACTTGCAGAATCGCGTTGCAAACTAATTTTCATTTACGTTTTTAACAATATTGACGGGAGAAAAAATGGAAAGTTTTCACGACCCATTAACGACCCATTTTATTTTCAACAGTGCGCTATCGTCAACGCTATATTTTTGATCGTGTTAATCATCGAAATCATCGATTCATCGGGAAACGATCAAACGCAGCTGAAATTTCCCAAGGAATAACGCCATTGTCTAATCGATTTCTACCTTCTCTACTTTTCCTACGGACGATTTGAGGAAAAAAGTCACGGGCAAATTGAAATAATTCGCGAGGCATTAATTTATGCAATATATGCCGTTTCGCCGAAAGCTACAACAATTTATTTGATTTATGCGTATGCATAATTCATGTCGTCGAAGATCGGAGCGAGAACGGCGAAAACGACTTCTCATCGAAAATCCATTTTTCGCTGCTAATCTATATCTTCGCAGTTACATCGGAATTGAAAACTGTTAATCGATAATCGATGAGTCTCCATTAAGCAACGCGCGTGTACCAATGTTCGGAGAAAAGAGAGGGAAGAGGAAAAGAAAGGGAAGAGAACGAGAAGGAAAGGGAAATAAAGAAAAGCGGATCGTAACTGCGTAGAAACAAGGACTCGAGGTTGCAAACTGTTCGAAATTCGTAGGACGAAGAGACAACAAACGAAACAAGGGACAAACAGGAGAGGAAAAAAGTCGGCGGAGGATTGTTCGTGGATTTTCAAGCTGATGTAAAGCCCCGCTCCGTTACTCGTATCATTCGAAAAAGCAATAAATTCGGAACGAATTACCTGCAGTGCCGTACGAGCGCGATCGTTGCCTGATTCGTTGGTTCAATTGTTCAGAATGATTCCGTCACGTGTGTATGGGTGTTGTCCAGCGTGTCCATGGCGTTACTTGCCAAATCCCCAGAATAACAATTTAATCCGTTGATCAATATTTCGTGGGAAGGTTTAACGTGTCAACAATAATCTTTGCATACGCGGCTATTAATTACCCGTTAGATCGGAGAAACGCATTGTAATTAACAGCGATACGTTTTCATTATACGTTGCCTGAGTAATTAAAATGTTTGTAAAAACGCAGAACACGTTGATTTTTCTGTTTTTTTTTTTCACTGGAGAGAGGCCGATTTGAATTTAATTAACGCACAGTCGAAAAATAATTTCAACGGGCGTTCGATTTTTTTGTCGCGACGTCCGATGCAATTTCCAAACGTGTGTTCCAACAAACGGGATATAGGTCAACATTTTCCCGGATAGTAATTAATTAAAAGCGACACTAAAGGGCATTTATTTTGCACGAAGCATGAAGCACCGAACTACCTGAACTTCGTACCGCCGATGAATTATTTCAAAACAGGCAGGCAATAAAACGAATGGAAAGAACGAAAGGCGGAACTGAAATTTGAACGTTCTTCTTGGACGAGTTCAAACTAGGCCGCAATGCGTGGGAGCTTCTCGCAATATTAACACTGCTTTCGAAGAAAATGAATATACATGGCGAACGAGCGCTTTGATGTTACTTCGGAAAGTCTGGCACACTGATCTGCAAAATGAAAGTCATAATCGCCCCGAAGAAGCGATCATATAGACAGTTGAATTTGATACTCGATAGTCGAAATATTTTATATCAATTACACATATGTAAGTATCTACATTACTATCACGTATCCATTGCCTGTCAGCCAATAAATATTGGGAAAACGAAGAAGTTAGATAAGTTCCAAGGTTAACTTGAACGACTGTCGAAACCAATCTACCGGTCGAGTCCTGTGTCGCCACCTACAACGAAAACTAGACAGAACAAAACTCTCGGATCGTCGCTGCAAATTGTTCCAAATAAAACACGCAATAGTGAAACTTCTTGACCTTAATATTCCCGAGAGTTCTGACCGATTTTAATTTGACTTGCTCGACAAGCGGTTCGCGGTTTATGGCTTTATATCATTAAACTACACATTCGCCGAAATTTCCGACTTGTCAGGCTCTTCTCACGTTTTCGGCCGGAGATCTTCACTCCGTTCCATTTTCATTATCTCCCGTCCGTTTCACATTGGTCGCACACACGGCTACGACATGCGCCACGAAAACTCGTTTGACCCGACGCCCAAACACCGCGCAGCCACCATCTGCACCGATGACGGGAAAGGGTAGGGGGAGAAAAAAATAAATACTTGTATCGTTCTCGCTCGCATCCGGACGAAAACGTGACGTGCGCGCAGATAAGACGTAGAGACGGCTAGAGATTCGGGTCTACGATATTTCTCGTGTTTGACTAGCGCAAAATGAAGCATGGAATATTGAGGGTTGAGCGCTGTTGAACGAGAGATGAAAGGGGATCTCCAAAGTACACGCTCTTTTCAAAGATGGAAAATTACCGAAAAAAAGACTTTTACCCCGAGAATGAAACGCGATATAATGGAGTCCTAGCCACAGTGGAATTATCCAAGCTGATGCAGACAGAGACCCCTCCGCGATATTGATCTTCGTGCATTGACAAAAGAAAGGAAACGTAAATAGGATGAAAATAGAAATTTTTACGTTAGATAATTCTTTACGTTAAAAATCTTACAGAGTAAATCAACATTCTTATGACCAAACGAGGCTATAATAGATCTAGAACAGAGTATTTTGCTACTAAAAATTTTGAAATCAGAAAATTACTACTCATCAACAAAATAAAAATAAATATACTCTTTACTCAATAGTTTCTACGTTAGAAATCTTACAAAGATCAAAATTTTTATGACCAAACGAGGCTATAGTATGATAGATCTAACAAAGTATTTTATTACTAAGAACTTTGAAATTCAAATGTTACTACTTTTTCACTAATTAATACAGTGAATGTGGAAAAAAGTTGAAATAGAAATAGAAATATTTTTAAGGTCATACCTGAATAAATGTGACCGTAGTCAATTTACAACGCCATTATTCTGCGGATTGTGCTCGGTTGTAGTTTAGAACGCTATGGCCATGCTTTACAATAAATTTTTTTTATTTAGTAAGGTCAAGAGAATCGAATGCACAGATGTCGCGTGTTGCATGAAATTCGGTTTACTTCGTTATGCATAAAAACAATTGCACGATGAAGGACTGTTTATTAAAAATTTCTTAATGCGTTCTGCTTGTACTAATTCTTTGTTTATTTTTCTCAATTATTTACGCGGTTACCGTAAAATGTAACAGAAAGAAAATTGAGGTAATTTATATTTTGAACGCTGCAACTAGGTTCCTAACTAGATTAGGTCCCTTATAACATGGGACCTAAATATTATGCTTTTGTCAAGTCGAACAGCCTTTAATCTTCAAACATCCCTTTCGACATAAATGAATATCAATTTAGATGAAAATCAATATCAAAAGCGATGCAGCGATCTCAACAGCATTCGTAAATGAATTCACTTCAATTGGGTGTCTTTATCTGGTTTATATACTTGCTCTCGGGGACGAGCCCTTGGCGAAAGAGGTATCTCTCTCTCTAGTATTTGAAAAGATTCCAATTAGCATGACCTATTGTAACCCTGCTCACAAAAATTGTCTCGCTATTTTATCGTCAAATATTCCATGCAATTCTAACATCTAATCCTTCTTCGTTCAGAATTTGACTCTAAATATGTATTGTAAAAAAAAAAAAATCGCTTTCAGTAGTATAGATAAAGCATATGTCGAACCACTTCTTCTAACAGTTATTCCTAACAAAATTTATATATTGTCTGTTAGAATTAATAATTACAGCTTTCAAGACTAACGAAGATGCTACAAATAAGAATTATGGAAATATTAAATACGAATGTATCGTTTCCTCTTCTTCTTTTTTTCTTTTTCAATGATTTGGACTCAAAAACATAACGTGTCACTACAAGTGCGAATCGCTGTACTCTTTTCAGAATGCTCAGGAGATAATTGGGTATTGAAGCGAAGGTGTCAGTGGTTCTGCAAGTTACTGCCACCGCAATTTTTTCCCAGTGAAATGGAGATAAATGGGACAGACAGCAGCCTAAACGGCACTGAAGCTAATCGCACCACTTCTCCGGTCTTCATTATTAGCACGCGTTACATGACACAATGGTGAGTATGTTCATAATCTTGCAGCATGTACAGGCAATTCTCACTTGATATCGCCAACTACGAATTTTTATATGTAAACATACATATAAAGTTAAGCCGATCGAAGGTTACGAAGGAACTGGTCACAAAATCGGTCGGAAAGTCGACGTCACGCTGACTTTAAAAACAAATCGCCGCCTCTTTGCTTCAGATATCACGAAGAATAAAATAGAAACAGAGACGGACTACAGGAAACCGATACATCATATACTAAATCCAGATATGATAGAATACACAGACTAGCTAGTAAATTTCTCGATTGATTGATGTTTTATAATACTTTCAGGTTACAAAGAAATAATAACCCTTACTGCATCACTTTCTCTGAGAAAACATATATATATGATTGTGAAATAGTTAATATTTTAATATTTTGAAAACTAGGACAGGTGAAAGTCAGATAAAGTTACTTGAAAATTACTGCTCTTTCGAGCCTCGGATTTTTGTTTGAATATCAAGTTGCAACTACTTGTAGAGTGTACAAAGTTCAGTGGAAACGGTATAATTAATAGAGTTTAACGTGAACACACGTTGCGAAAGGAATTAGGTTTGAAAAGCTAAAGAACATTTTCAACTTTCTAGTGGGAATTTAAATGTCATTTACTTGGAGAAATTCGGTTATATTATGAACGAACTTCGAATGTAATATTCATGCAGCGATACGATGCCAATATTTATTTCCTCTGCTGTTTGATTTATTGCTTGTTGCAAGAGAAGTTGAAATTTGTGTCAATTCAACATATCTACGCGACAGTCACGATCGTAATCCCCATAATACCCAAGTGTCGTAGTAGCACGAACGAATTCTGAGAAATATTCATCTTGAAATAAACTATAGATAAACCTAGTTTTCTTTGCTCATCTAAAGTTACCATTCGTCCCGTAAACTGTTCGTTTATACTGACCATTTCTTATCCCCCGTGTTGTTTTGTTTCTCAACCAATTTTCCCATAAAAACATAAGCGTGTACAATGAGAATAAAAAGAAAAAATGTGAAAATAACGTACGTACAATTTTAAAAGCTCGAAGAAATTTTCTTTACGCAAATTAGTTATCTATTTTCTCTTTCTTGCAATTGTGATAATATTCGAGACATAGAGCAACATATACAACTATCATAATCGGTTGTAGTGGGAAACTTCTTGCACCAAGTAAGTACCCGCGACGTGTATTTATGGAATAATCACCTTCGGTGAATTACTTCGCTCACTGGCAAGTATTCAGGCAGTGCTTGGCACACGCGAAATTTTCGAACTGTTTCGCTTAAGGATATGAAGTTACGAAGCAATTTAGCAAGAGGTACGAGGCATTTATAAATCCGTACTGTAACGGGTACGAAAGAAATGTTGACCTACATTTTCCTTAACATTAAGTCGCCCGATTAACACTTCAACAAACGGTTTCTCGATTGAAAAAAAAATCCCTTGTTTCAACAATATTTCTGAATCTGACACTCCATTTGTCAATGTACGAATTTCCAGCGAATAATTAATACAATTAAGTACGAGTGCCTTTTCCTTTCTCACGCAATAATTCCTTTCATCGTCTCTTTTCGAACATTTCAAATGAAATTAACCTTCTCCTCCGGAGAAAGTTCCTCTTTAAAAATCTTTTCAACTTTGTCGCGCTTCTTTGGATTGGTTTTTAACTCTATTAAAGTTTAAGTTTTTTTTTTTTTTTTAGAAAAATTGAATGTCTCGACGTTCTTTTTAACTATCCGGGTGAGAACGAGACGCGAATATTTCCACGTCGTATTCAGAATTAGTTGCAAGAAATACATTCGTAGTTCTGCATGACTTACTTGGATACAACTGTCAGCAAAAACGATGATTGGACAAATGTGATCGGCGCAAAGTGAAACGTAAAACACGACGTTGCGTTTGAATATTTTATGTTTGTACGGTCAGTATGAGCGTGAAATGGTTTTTCGAATTTCGAAGTGACCGCGTTGGTCGTAATCTATCGGTCGTTGCTTCCGCAAATGCTCATTATCGAAGAGTAATAGCATCATGTGGTTGCTCTCGTACAGCCGATATTGGTTATCTGCGGGCGTGCTTAGGAAACACCAAGGTTGCAGGAAATGAACTTTCGCGGGACACCAAAACGAAGACAAAAATTTCTTGAGGGTTTCTCGTTCCTTTTCGAGACACCATTGTTCTTCTGGCCGCGCTTAATGAGCACCGCTGCTTATACCGGTAAATGGGGTGTGTTCGTTTGTGTTTTCGTTGTTGTTAAAAGACCTCGAGGACGATGCATCCTTTCTGATATGAAAGTAATGTATCTCGCTGGAAATGCGTACCATCGCTGAACACAGCCCCGCGCGCGCATATTTCGAAATAAGAACTTAAAATTTTCTACTGCAAACGAGAATTCCCAGTTTTTTTTCTCTTTCTTCTATCAAATACTCGATCACCGTTTCTAATTTCGACAACCTTTCCGTTATAAAATTTAATGAGTAATAAACTTATTAAAGTCTATAGTCTCGAATGTACATAATCCTCCGATAGTTTATCTTCTTTTTTTCTTTTTTAAATTTTTTAACGATGTTATAAAGTACCGTTTCGAAGAAGAGTAAAATCGATCCTTCAAAGAAATGCTCGATATAATCAATTTCCGTTGAACTTCCAATCACTAGCCGCCTTAACAAATTTACCCTATAATTGTATACACCATCTTGCGCAGGGCTGCAACAGACACTTCCTAACTCCATCACTTTATCATAAAATAATTCATTTACACAGCGACTCATTTGAAGGTAAACCAATTCTTCCCCCACCCTCTTTGCCCTCCCTCTTTTGTTTCTTCAACGAAGAAGTTGTTCAAAAATAAACGTCATAAAGCATGTAAATTTGATCACCACGAGAGCAACAGCATCGCATCGAGAGAGCCACGAATGTTATTAAACCGAATGTTATTACGATTTGTCGTATCGCGTTGCTTAAAGCATGCGGCAGATGCCAATGAACGACACCTTTTTTCCCTGTATGTCCGTTTTCTTTGCGACTTGCAATAATATTACAACAGCTACGTCGAATATCAAAATTCCCCGTATAAATATACATACGGGGTGAGCAAGTTTAAAATTTTACACCAGAGATTCGCTTTGTCAGTTGGCTGTGGTCCGATAGGACACATATACGGGTGAATTGCAAACAGATACCTACAACGAACGTTCGTTTCAAAGGACGGCCTCTGCGTTTTCCGATAATGCAAGCGGTGTACCTGTGAAAGGCAATTACTATCCAGAACAATTTCTTTTAAAGGGGATGCTTGGCCAGAATATTTTCTCCTTTTTTCTCCCGCCCGTCGTCTCTAATAAATAATCGATACTAAGAGCAAGAAATAGATTAGCTTTCAAAGTTGCTCGTGTAAAATTATTCTCTCTCTCTCTCTCTCTCTCTCTCTCTCTCTCTCTCTCTCTCTCCTCCAATCTATACGGAATATATAATCATGTATGTACAACATGTATCGAAGAGAATTCCAAAATATATACACGTAGGTACACCGCGTTTTCACGTCGGAACGAATGAAATACTATTTTTAATCAGCCTTTTATTCCCTTGACCGAGATAGCTTAAACATATTGAAACTTTTCCGGGGCGAGTATTTCAAATGGAAGATTGCATTTCAATTAATATAAACGAAATAAACGAAATCGAATTCCACCGACTTGGGAACACAACCGTGGCGTTTGAGTCGTGCCGATTTATTCGACTTATTGTGCGTATAAATACGAGGTATAATGTATTTTGGAAACAATCACAGCGGAAAAATGTGTCGGATAGGCTCACGCGCCGAATAATATTTCTACTCGTTCCTTTATGAAATTCAGCGCAAAAACATTATAGAAATTTTCTAATGGAATGTGAATTTAAGGGATTTGACGTTTCTCTTTAAGCAACATGGGGATTATTACTATATATATACTTCTCCACAAAATTAAGGGCCGATCAAATTATTTCGGAAGAATTGTCGAGTTTGAATCTGTTGGATGAAAAACGTTGCGCAACACTGTGACTGTGCTTGCTTTAAAGAGTGAAGTCTCCACTTTCACGTGCTTAAACCTGTTTGTTTCGAAGACCCCATTCTGTTATAGAAAATATTGGAAAACTGAACTCTCTTTTTTCTCTTCAAAATTTTACAGATTCAAACGATTCTAAGGAGTTTAAAAAATTTTCTTTCAAATTAATAACAATTTTAATCGATCAAAAGTTATTCTATGATTTTTTTTTCCTTTTCCGGTTTCGTTGCATTTCGAATGAAAGACTAACACCATCCAAACGTCTGGCTGAAGAACAACAATTGGAGAGGCTTCTGTAATTCTCTGAAATTGTAAAAACTCTTTACAATCGAGCACAAGCACGATATTGTACGACGTTTTTTACAAAAGTTTAAAAATCGACAATTCTTTTGAAATAATTTAGTGACCTTAAATTTCGCGAAAAAGTATAGATTTTCATGGAAAGTCCCAAAGTGAAATTCTTTTTTCTCTTGCAATAGAACAGTAGAACAGTAGATTCTGTATTATTCAGACACAGTAGTAGCAATTAGTGCAATTGTCGTTGTGGGAATTTCCTAAATGAGAATTATTATTATATTATACATAGTGCCTCAATATTTCCAATACACATGGAATAAAGACTCAACTGTTGTAATATATCGTCAACTTTAATAAAACTAGCTTAATTTCTTCTTTCTTTTTATCCATGTGAATAAAATCTATTTTCATTTGCAATCAACTAACTCCAATCTTGATTCGATAATTATGACACTAAAAGCCAGTCTCGGATGTATTTTCACAAATTCGTCACGTGATTTCGTTATTCGAGTACGCCCGTATGTAACAGCGACGTGTTTATTTCCGGTCAGCAATTCAAATAATACCAATTTCTTTTCACCTCAGCAATTAAAACAGAAATTACAAATTACGAATTACAGTTGCACTGCGTACAACGCAGAGT